TGTCTTCGGCGGACGAAATAAAGATAAAATAAAGAAAATGGCTTTGCTTTATTAACTAAAGAGCAAGCAAACATTGCGCACAGCAGATTATTAACTCACCAGATGATTTAGAGGCGGTTTATTGGTTAGTTTCGCCACTCCAGGAGCTGCTTACTGATGGACTTTTTTTTGTCCCGAGCCCAGTTTAACACCGCGGCCAGTTTAATGAGCTGCTGACCCACATCAGTGCTGATATCTCCAGCCAGAACATCAACTACAGACGGTCGATTTCAGCAAAAGAGCTCCTGTCCGTCTGTTTGTGGGCAACATTCAGGAAATCGTCACGTGGAAAAATGAGTGTCTCTGATTGGTTGTCAAGACGTGTCGAGCGGCAAAAGATCAGATTTTTTAACTCGGGCGTCGGCTGCTTTCGCCGCTCTGCATGCACGGAAAATGCTCTGCCGCACCTTCCGCATTCCTTGCTCGCCGCGCTAAGCGAACCTGATGCATCGCAAGAACCCTAGAGGCACGTCCACCATATACTTTGCATGTAAACCGGCTGCTGTAAATGCGTTTGGTGTGAACCTACCATTAGAGCTGACAGATGATTAGGTATAGATGTTACATCATTGTTGTCTAAGAGTTATATTAACCACACATAAAATGATCTGTTCAGATTCATTCTTAAATTGTGTACAGGTTCACAGCKGTAATATCCATTTCCATGTCAGAAATTGGGAAGTTATGTAAAAAGTTGTAAAAAAAAAAATAAACAAAACAGACTGCACTAAATGAGCAGCAGGCTAACGCTGCTGAAGCATGATGAGTTTATGAACCCAGACCTGAGCAGGAACGCAGCCGTGGCAGAATGCACTGGGAATCAAAGAGGGAATGATTGATTACAAAGTCTCCACCTCAAACATGGGCTCAAAGACGAAGAGTAAAATAATAAAGCTGCTCTCACTCATGATCTTGTTTTTTTTTTCTTGTCCAAAAGCAAAATAGTGTGAAAGTGAGAGAACAGCAGCTCATTAAAACAAAATTTTAATTTGGTTTGCTTTGGAAGCACTTTGTTGTTTAAGTTTATTCAAATTCTGATTTAAGTCAAGCATAACATCAGGTCCTGAGAGGTCCTAAGAGGCCCTGYCAGGCCAGTCTGTGGTGCTGGGAAAGTCTCGGTGGACCAGCTGGGTTTAGGGGCCATGAGGGCTGACTTTAAATCAGTATCAGCATGTTTATCAATGATTAAAACAGATAAGACAAGCAGGCTGGTAGCTCCTAAAGCTCCGACTCACAGGCACAGCCTGATGCTGTCAGCTCTCATATGTGTCATGTGACTGTTGCCAGCCCACCACAGAGAGGGTGGGGTCTACCAAGCRGCCTTCTTGAGGTGACTGTTTATGGATTAAAAAAAAAATCTGGGGTGTGGCCTAGAAAGGATGTGGAGAAACACATCAAATTAGGATACTTTTTAGGGGTCCAAGCCCACAGAGCAGGGGAATGCAGCTCAAAAGCAGCAGAGTTTCCATACATCCAGTGGAGCATGGAACCCTATTGTATCTGTTCCATTTGTTATTATTGTTGCTGTTGTTGTTC